AGTACAATGACTGCTTTAGAAACTGGTTTTCCAGTCTTATCTTCAACAAATCCATGAACTCCTTTGTGAACCTCTACCAACATGCTAAGAAGGGACTTTTTATTTTCTGCCCACAAGGAAGGGAGTTGTGCTGCACTAGGAAAGTAGCAGCAGCTTGTGTACACAGTGATTTCTGGGCAATGTCCATAGGTGACGCTATAGTCCTTCATGCTACCCAGGTGACTGTGCCATTCTGCTCCGCGCATTACTCCTCCTGGAATATTCTCATCTGACTTATTTGGGCAACTGGGCTGACTGCATTGATGGGTGATTATTTGCATAAAGGGATGCCAAGTGCTTCAGAGTCTCTTTGTTTTCCACTGTCCGCACTGGCTTGTCATATGGGTATGTGACCAGCACAGAACCACCATCTAAAGCAACAGAAAGACTGATGTCCTGTTTTTGAATTAAATTTTCAATGATGGCTTTAGTCTCAGGCTGGGAAGCATTATTTGTAAAATCTGTATCCAGGTCTTTGCCATGGGCATTTGTTTGTCCTATCTTTGAAGTACAGTCTTTCTCTTGTGCTCGCTTTCTCCCATCTGGATTTAGAGAAGGGACAATCACAATCCTGGTCCTGTCAATCAATTGGGTAACAGCTGGGTTCTTTCTGTAGTTTAGGCAGAGAAATTCTGCAAGAGCCAAAAGCAGTTCAGTTCCAACTGGAACATTTCCATGGATACCAGCAACAAAACGAATCTTCGGTTCTTCAGGCTCAGATATGTTGGGCTTATTGGAGATTTCAAGGGACCAAATGTGATGATATTCAGCACTCTGTCCCAAAGTGGTAAGATTTGTAAAAAGTGGATAGTTCATTACAAGTCCTCTCAAAAATTCTGATAGGTCTTTATATGAATGGTATCGATAAAGAGCCAGGTTTGAGGAGGAGCTTAACATGATGCCTTCCAAGCCATTTTCAGCTGAAAGGTCTTTAATTAAAGCTTCAAACTCCTTAGTAGTTGGGTCACTGGTATCATCAGTGCTGGTGCTATCCCCCTTTCCTTTTTTAGATTCATTATTTGCATCCACTGATGATCGAAGAAGTGTGAAGTTGACCTGAATAGCACCTTCACTCTTGACAGTTACATTCTTGGTAACTGGGTTATACCCTCGAGCAGATGCTGTGATTTTATAAGTTCCTGGAACTAAGAGACGCCAGTAATCTCCAGTTTTATAAGTAGTCACTGGATGATTAATTTCAGCAACACTAATGGTGGCATTTAATATACCCCTGCCATCGGTAGCATCAAGGACAAATCCTTTGACACCCTGATGAACCTGTTTTATAAACTGGATTAAAGATCTTCGATTCTGTTCCCAAAACTTTGGCAGATCTTTCTCAAATGGATATTTCACACAACTTAGTTCAATAGTTACTTCAAAGCAATTTGTTTGTAAATAGTTCCAGTCCTGCATACCACCTGGGACATTATACCAGTTAGCTCCATTTGTTATGCCATGAGGGAAATATTCATTAGGGTACATATTCTTGCAAGGTCTACCTTGAAACATCTGGGAATTTTCCTTGGAATAAGAAAGTGCTACTTGTTGGAACACGGCGTCATCTGGTGATTTACTATATAAGACAAGTCCTTGCTCATCATCATCAAAAGGATAATTAACCACCAAAGAACCTCCATGCAGGTTTGCTGATAGTACAAATGGATAGGCCTTCATCCAACTCATTACGGCAATAGTTTCTGGTTGGGTAGGATCTGTGATCTGAACAAACTGGTCTGGAAAATTTCGGTTCAGGTCAAAGTTGTTGCTGTTGTTTCTGCCAATTTCACTTACTGAATCACCTTCCTGAGACTTTTCATATCCATCAGGATTCATGGATGGCATAAGGTGAATTCTAGTGTTACGGACCAAATCTGTTACTTCGGGATCTGTTCCAAAGTTCTTACAGAGGTATTCAATGAGGTTCAGTAGCAGTTCTCTTCCAACTACCTCATTACCATGCATATTTCCAATGTACTTAAATTCTGGTTCACCTGGTTCACGGACACCTGGATTATCAGATATCTCCATCACATAGAGTTCTCTTGATTCTACTGATTTTCCCAATGAGTAAAGCCGAGTGATATTAGGATAGTCATTGGCAAATCTTCTCAAAAAGATTTCCATGTCAGGAAAATTGTGATGGTGAAAATCTTTCGGCTGAATTGGCTGGTGAGAGGATAACGTTCCAGAGGGAATCTTGGGGAGAATAACTGTGCTAGCAGTTGCCAAAATCTCAGTTGTGTCAGGGATTACGGAAGTTGCAGTTGGCCGAAGGGAAAAATCCACTTCTGTGGCTGGTCCTTCTTTCACAATTATATTATGAATAGGCAATGACATATACCCAGTTGAAAGTGCTGTAAGATTATAACTTCCAGGAACAAGTAATCTGTGGAAATCACCAAATCTGCCTGTTGTGATGTTATGATTAATACCAGCCACCGAAATGGTTGCATTCTCTAATCCAGATCCTGTTACTGAATCTTTAACAAATCCTTTAATTCCAATGTGGACTTTTTCAATCAATGTAATCAGAGATTCACGATTGTTCTCCCATTCCTGTCGAAGCTGAGAAGCAGGTGGGTACTTGCAACAAGATAATTCTAATGTGATCTCAAAACAATTGGCCCATACGTAATTGTAATCTTGCATACCACCTTCCACATCATACCAATGTGCACCATTTGTGATCCCATCTTTGAAAGTCTCATCTTCATCTCCTGGACAATGAGGTTCACCAGTTTTCATTATAGGGTGATTTTGAAGCATAAGCTTTTGCCAAGTATTTGAAGACTTCATCATCTGAGGTGTTGCTATAGATTCCAGTTGCCTGATGTTGTGGAGAATCATCAAAAGGATAGCTTGCTACCACAGAGCCACCATGCAGATTTCCAGAAAGCACAAACTTGTTCCTGCGGATCCAGTCGATGAGGGCTCGCACTTCGGGCACCTCGTCCAGGGAGGGGGGCTCGCCAGTGCTGAACTGGTCCGGGAAGCTGCGGTTGAGGTCGTGGCCCCGGCTGTTGTCGCGGCCGCTGGTCCCGCAGTTGCCTTCGCGGGAGCGCTCGAAGCCGTCGGGGTTGAGGCTGGGCAGCACGTACACGTCGGTGGTGTTGAGCAGGAGGACGAGGCGCGGGTCCCCGCGGCGGTAGCCAGAGGCCAGCTCTCGGGCCAGGTAGACCAGCACCTGGCGCGACACGGTCTCGTCGCCGTGCATGTTGCCCA